TTCTGAGGTGGAAGTGAAACCCTTTCTCAGCGCGGTCCACGCCACGATCATTTTGCCCATGTGCATTTTGAAATGCAAACGCGCGGAGAAAAACAAAAAGTCCGCAGCACCGAGCCGATAAGCAGAGACACAAAAGTATGCGCAGAGTGCCGCAGACTCCAGATCCCAGATCCCACATCCACAGACCAGAGACTGAGTGCTATCCTGCAGCCAGCTGAACTCTTTTCGAATTCATTTTTTTTCTTTAATTTTTTGTTTTGTGTTTCTGTTTCGATAAGCGCCGCATCTTCAATCTTCCTCTGCGGCGTCGGCGTCTGCATTTCGTTGCCCAAAGAGCCCATCATCATCATCATCAGTGATATGCTTTACGCCGCAGAGTGTCCATTAGTTGAGTCGCCGTCCTCGTCGTCATCGTCGTCGTCTTCGTTGCGTATTGGGCAACACAGATAATGTGATTTTGGGCTCGACCCAAGAACGAAATGGAACGAGACGCGCGTGAGTTGTGATAAGCACCAGAGACAAGGGAATACCTTGCCTCGTAATCACCGTTCCCTCTCTCTCTCTCTCTCTCTTTCTTTCTCTTTTTATCCATCTCCCTCTCTGCCCGTATATTCTGTCGCTTGTTCGAAGCAATCTCATTTTGTCTTTCGTGTGAATTCTCGGAAATTCGATATTTTTTCCTAGAACTCCAACGATTGCGTGTGAGTTGCATTTGACTGGTTTTTGTGACGTCACCTGGGCATGGTTTGGATTGGCCTGAACGGCTAAATGGGCATGCGACTAATAGAGAAAGCTGTGCTTAGCCGGATTATAAATGTGTCTAAGAGCTTATTAGTTTGCATAGAAATAGTCAGACATTAAATTGGCCGAAGTGACCAGTTATGATCCGCTTATACAATAGTCTTAAAGATTCGAAGCTCATCATTTGTATATTTTATCTATCAGAAGAACAGTATAAATGCCTTATGAGACTACAAAAGCGACTACAAAAGCTTCAAACATGTTCTAAATTCCAGTCAAAGTAGTATTCTCTAGTTAGAAATCTTTAAAAATTATTATGAAAGAAATTTGATTTAAAAATGTTGAGCCACAGCTTGTAAGAATAACCTTTTTTAAAAATCATCACTGAAAGTTTTTGGGGGCATTTAAAATGAAATAGACATTTAATTTCAATTAATTTAAATACGTATAAAAAAATGCTGCAATAAGTGATATATGTACAAACCTTAACTTAAATATTTCTCTTAATGGATTTGGATAAACACACAATTATTAGTAAACAATTATATTATATTAATTTACAGTTTATATCCAATCCTATATTATTATATTATATTAATTTACAGTTTATATCCAATCCTTACACGCGATATATATATAACGTGAGTAGAACAATAATCTCCTTAAAATTATTATATAATAATTATAGAATACTCTTTTTAAATTCTCTCTGCAAATGTCACATTTTTAATGAAATTTGGTCCATAAATTTGACCTAAGCTTTAGAGCTGCAACTTACCGCGCATAATCCACTCTATCTTTCTCTTTCCCTCGAGCTCTCTCACTCTCTCTCTCTCTCACATAGAACTGGGAACATTTCTCACTGGCGGCGGCGTCTGCCTATCTTCTTTTATCTATTTTAACTGCGCGTTGTTTAAAGCGCATTTTCGTGTCGTTTGTCGATTTGTAATACCGAGCAACGATGATGGTAACTGGGATGGAGAAGATGCAGTTGAACTGCCACCACCAACTATCCAAACAACCAACCAACCAACCAACCAACCACCATCAGGCTAAGCTCTGCCGCTGACTGGACAGCGGCTCTGGCGCTTTGAAGTTTGCCTAAGTGGCGCCTCAGAGAACCCGTTTGGTTCGTGGCGGGTTCAAAAGGCCGCCTTGGTTGGTGGTCATCATTACACGACTGGCATGTTTCACTGGCTAATTAAATGCATCTCGCCGGACAGTTTGGAACTTTATGTTGGCTTTTATGCCCTGACCCGAACCGATATCTAAATAATAAACACACGCATCTACATCTATGTTTGCTCTTAACTATGTATTTATTATTATTATTATTATTAAATAGTGTGTGTTGTACATGAGCAAATGCTTGAATGCTTTGCAATTAGCTTAATAGAAATTCAAATGCATGCATAGCTATAGAGATTAGTAAAGAGCACTTCCCCTCGCCATCGACATGTTGCCTCCTGTTCTCCACTTTCTGGTCTCCGGTCTCTAGTCCCCGGTCTCTGTCTAACAGTTGTACGTCTGTCATAATTTCTGCGATAGTGTCACAGGCACAAGTGCGCAATGTGCTCGGCATCTGACAACCATGTGGCTGGGGGGTGGGAGGTGTGTGAAAAATGGCGCCCCGCTTTCATATCTTGTTGCTTGTCACATTGAATTATTATTTTATGGTCGGCTTGGTCGTTTTTGCCGTTCTATAATATCAATTGGCCAAGAAACGGAACAGGTTCGCCAGTGTGTTTTACTTTGCTGTTAACTAACAAGTAGCCGCATTAACAGAGCTGGCTAATGTTTTAATTTGTTGTTGCGGAGCAACTTGGAACGGTTAGAGAATCGATGCAGTTAAACAGGTGCGGCTGAAATTTAGGAGCATTGAGTATTATCAACTGGAAACCAAATTAATTAGGGATAATTGCAATGGTTATTCAAATGTAGGAATTGTATTTTGAAGACTATTTTCTAAAATCAGGTGCCAAAGTGTGCATAAATCTTTTCATTGCATTCCTAAAAGGAATCTTATCTCCAAATTCTGTTTTCTATGCTTCTCACTTACCCTCAAAGCCGGAAATATGGCTTTTACGATGTCCATATGCCATTAAGAGGTGAAATTTTAAAGATAAAATATAAACAAATCTAGTTTGATTTTTTTAATCAAAATAGATTTTAAAGAGCTTTTTATTTGATGACACAAGTTTCTTCGTGATCGAACTGTTTTTGTGGAATTTAAGTTTTAGTTCAATTCAAAATATGTGTTATTAAATCTGGCATAATAATTTATAAAGTTGCAAATTCCTAATGTCTTCGAAGACCGGATCAGCTCATCATTTTATGACTCGTCTCAAAAATGTTTGCAGTAAACTAAAGAAATTCCTATATACACCTCGCAAATTCGCTAACTATTCCCAAATGTGCGAAAATCTAATGAATATATTTCTTTGAGCTTATTTTGTGGGACAAGTTGTCTGCTATCCACCTGCCTGATCACGCTAATCGGACGGTCTCAAGTTAAGTTGATTTGTTGTTGCAGTCTCAAATACCTCAACGGCATTAGTCAATTTTTCATGTGATTTTTATCTTGGTTACATCAAAGATACACTTAGACGAAATAAAGATAGAAGCCTGCCGACTGTTTGGCAAAATGTTTCGCAACTCCCACTCGTTGGCAACAAAAAGCTTCTTCTGCCGTGTCCACCAATACCAATGCGCCGGCCACTTGCAAAACCTTGCGGCGAACATAATTTGTTCAAACACATTCCAAAGCTGCTTGTGCTGCTCTCACTGTTGCTGTTGCTATTGCTACTGCTGGTTGCGGACCCGACCGTCTCATTACTCATTCAAGCACTCGCATTCGCACCCAGTCGCATCCCCAGGCCCAGTCTCATCGGCCCGAGTCGGGGACTGAAGTTACATGGAGCGCCGGCCAGCGAACGAACGCTAATAAAAGCGGTCGTAAAACAAGTTTGCCTAATTGATCGAGCGTACGCCAAAACCGAAAACAAAAAAAAAGAGGAACTAAAAAAGAAATGAAGAGGGTAAAACGAAAAAGGCGAAAGAAAATCAGACAAAGGCAACGACTGGAACTGGAACTGCAACTGAGGCCGGTCCACGATCCACAGAGTCCACGATGTTCACAATAAGGCGTTAATATTATACCAAGCTTGCGCGCCTGTTTCGCCTGCCGCTCGAGGCTCATCCAAAACGGACCAGACATTTTTGCCATACCAACGACTACAGATCAAAGGCAGCGCCACTAGGCGGTGGCGTTACTCGGCGGCGGCGTTGTGCGTCGGACAGGCTTTTAAGCGATGACACCAAATCGCTATTTAGACACTGGTCCCGGTTCCAGCCCCGGTACCGGGTATGAAGTCCGAGTTTAGCGGCCCGTTGTTGGCCTTTCTTTGAGGCCTTCGCCTTTTTACTTACTTGTTAAGATTTTATGTTCTGCGTTGTGCGTTGTGCGTCTGTGGAGGTCATTAAAATTAATTTGGATCAATTTGGTTTGCTGCCAAATTGTTGACAATGAAATATAACAAGGCTTGGCCAAGCCAGGCGACAATACAGACAACTCGCACTTTGTAGAGTCATCAAAGTCTTAAGTGTCTTAAGCGTTTACAACTTATTTATTTTTATAAAAAGAACTTAAACGTACAAAATCGTAGGCTTCTTTATGGCCCTGTGCTTTTTAGCTAAATTACTTCTAAAGTGGAAAAATACATACAAAAGTTCATATACATAACTATATATATATAAATATATATATACATATACATATACATATACATATACATATACATATACATATACGTATACATATACATATACATATACATATACATATACATATACATATACATATACATGTACATATACATATACATATACATATACATATACATATACATATACATATACATATACATATACATATACATATACATATACATATACATATACATATACATATACATATACATATACATGTACATATACATATACATATACATATACATATACATATACATATACATATACATATACATATACATATACATATACATATACATATACATATGGTAAAGTTGATATTTGAAAATTAGTTGCTAAATAATACGCACAAATCATTTCAAATAATTTGTAACAATTAGTTGACTAAGGGGAGGAAGACATAAAACTAGCTTCAATTAAAATGGTCAGCTTAAAGTGTTCAGATGTTTTTAAGATTTTAAGAAGTTTTTCACATTTAAAATATTACGTTTTGATATAAAAAATAATTTTTGTAATTATGCTGCAAAAGAAAACAATACCTCAAAGATAAAAGTTATTAGTTACAGAAAGTGTAAATAAATTAAATGCTTACAAATAAAACCGATGTCAAACTTCAGAAATCTAAAAGGAAAGAACATCATCGTTCTACGAATCTCAGCCACCATTTGCAACTTTAACTAACTGGGATATGGGTCTCTCTACAACGTAAGTAGCATACCTAATCTTACATAAATAGTTTGGCAATCTTGACATTTTGGTTAAGTTTACTATAGTTTAAGTCGTACACATTAGTTATTCGATGAGCGCTCTGGCAGACCTGTGCGCGTTATAACAGTTGGAGTCAGCTCGCTATTGGAACTGCGACCACTTTCGATTGGAGGAACACTGTGAAACAAATGAACATAATAGTCATATTGTAATGGTTTGTCGTATTAAATCAACTTACGACTGTGCAATCTGACGGTTCAGTGTGACCGAGTTGGGCAGATGTGGCGATTGACTCTGTGACGGAGGCTGCTGCTGCTGTTGTTGTTGTTGTTGCTGCTGCTGTTGTTGCTGCTGTTGTTGCTGCTGCTGCTGCTGCTGCTGGCTGAAAGGCGAGTGACTTTCGCTCGTCACATGATGACGCGACATGTTCAATGTGCCATCGGATGTCGGCACTGCAGGATTAAGCGGAATGGTCACCACACGCTGTCCGCCAGCGGGTCCAGTTGCAGACATATCATGCAGCTCGGGACTCGCATTCTGTTGGCTATTCGGCAATCCCACAGTCACCTGTGATGGATACACTAAGCCATTGTTCACCATCAAATTGACACCCTGCGACATGCCTACAAAATAATAAGACAATGAATTATAGTTGTCAACGATCATATTTTGGGTAGTCCCTGTTTTAATTTTAGTTGAAATTTTATAAAAAGCAAAAGAGTATTTTGTTAAAAAACTTAATCACACTTCCATCTAACATATTCTATTCTATTCTATAATTTATACTAAAAGAATATCTTTGATCGCTATGTTAAAGACTTTTAGTTGTATTATGTACGTGTATGTGTATATTAGAAAGTAAATATTATGTCCAAATAACTTATACAAAGAAATAAATCTTACATCTTTATAAAATTAATTGAAATATAATTATTTCAATTAGATAATGCACTCCCTATAGTGGTTTTTACTAAGAACATAAAAAACATTACCAATCTATAAAAAAAAAACAATTTAAGCACGATTGATATGGCGTATACTGTTTAAAATACCAAAATAAAATTCATTCAAATCTAATCAATTCGATTTTTGATTAAAACTTGTTGGGTTTTCAACAAAACCACGAATGCGTATCTGATCTATAATATGTATGGTTAATAGCTATCGTGCGCAATAATTATTACAATTATTATTAATTGATTTACTCACTTGGCAGCACTCGATGGGGCATAGATGCTCCATTGTTCTTTGGCTTGCGCTTGCGTTTCTGAATGCCCTCCTTTTTCATGGACAAGGGTCGATTCATGTTGTGCAGCTTGAAATAAAGTCCGCAGGCATTGCAGACGGGATTGCCCTCGTTGTTGCGTCGCCAGAGCGTCGTCGAGTTTGTCGAACAGTTGGCGCAGGTGACTCCATTGCGGCGATTGTTTGGAGCAGCGGCTGCCTTCGGCTTCTGGCGCTGTGGCACATGCCGTCCCGCCTGGTTGCGCCCATAGCTGGTGCAATTGGGGCAGTTGGGCCACTCGTTGCCCTTGCGCATGAACGATGTCTGACAGGTGTCGCACTTCAGCTCCGTCATATGGGTGGTTGAGGTTATTGCGCTGGCCGCTGCCAGTCCGTGATCATAGTTGCCAATGCTGCCAGCGGGGTTCCAGTGGGCGGCTGTCATGTTGCTCGTGGGATATTCATCAATGACCTGCGTTTGATAGTTCGTCTGCAGGTTGGCCAATGAATTAAACAAGGAGTCAGTGCATACTGCTTGATGCGATACTTACAAAGGACACATTCGGATAATCGCCACCAGTCGTTGTCCACAGCCCAGGATCACCACCACTGGCACTGTCTATAAACGATAGCGCTTGATATGGAACCGTTGGCGCCTGCCTCAACGGATTCAAGTTCGGATCGGATTTGGTTATGAACTGTGTCGTCCCAGGCACACTGTAAATGGTGTTCCCCTGCTGCAATGTTGCCGTCGTATAACTGTTGCTGCTGAACGTCGTGTTGGGCGTAAACGTTGCATAGGCATTGCCCAAATCCGCATAGGTCTTTGACTCATTTGCATGCACGCTGGCATCCACAACGGGCGTTTCATAGTACAGATTGCCGCCGGGCGTGTCCTCAGTTACATAACGCACGTGTGTGTGAGTAGCTGCAACAGCTGCGGCGGCAGCAACTGCTGCTTGTTGCTGCTGATGATGTTGCTGTTGATGCTGCTGTTGCTGTTGCTGTTGCTGCTGCTGGTGATGATGCTGCAGTACACCCTCGCTGCTGACCACAATGGTTTCACCATAAGGTCCACCATTGGGTGTGGGGCATTGCTGCTGTTGTTGCTGCTGGTGTGTTAGTTGTTGGGGTTGCTGCAACTGCGATTCGCCCGAAACATCGCTCTTGTCAATTGTCTCCATTTTAATGGGCGCCACATCATCGCTACTGCATATGATCTGGCCCGAGGGATACGCATAGAGTGTGCTAGGATGTGCCACCTGATCGGCGACCTCGGCCGCAGTCCGCGGCGCCATTTGAATATAGTGGGGCGAGTGATGTGAACTCCGCTGATACTCAATATGCGTCTCGGGTGCCGAATTCGAGCTGGCGGTGCTGCTGTTGTTGTTGCTGTGGTCGCCCTCATGCGCCTCGTTCAGCTCGCTAGAGGTTTAAGGATAGATTTAAGGTTAATAGTTTATAACTGCACTCAGAAGAAAAGTGTCGAAAATTAAGGTAGGCTGAACTTGGCTCCAAAATTATGAGACTTTCTAAATCTTGTGGCGGATTTCTCCAACTGTGGTGTGAATCCTTGTTTATGCTACTTACAGTGTACCCGCTGTTGTTAGGATGCGTCGCTGCTGTGTGCGCGGAACTACAACGTATTGTGTCTGCTGTGTCTGCTGCTGCTGCTGCTGATCATCGGATTCGCTGGCCTGGCTGCCCGTCTGCACTAGAATGCCTACAGTTGTCGTTGTTTGCTGCTCCTGTTGCTCCTCCAGAACGGTATTGGCTTGTGGATCGTTGCCGTTGCTAGTCTCAATTTTGATTTTATCCAGCAATTGCAGCTGTTGTTTGCTGAGCACTTGTTGCTGCTGCTGCTGCTGTTGTTGCAGTTGTTGCTGTTGTTGCTGCTGCTGCTGTTGCTGCGGCGTCGTCTGCGCTTCCATCTGCAATGGCCAAGGCATAAATGATGAATGGATAGCTTGTTGACAGCTTGTTGTCAAAAGTGTGGCTCCAGTTCCGGCCACACAATGCGAACTTGGCCGGCCGCCTCTATTTCCGCCGCATAAAAAGTCAATAAGAGCAAAAAAAAAAAACAGAAAACCCCAGACCCAAAAGCAGGCAACGGCAACGTTCAAAGGCGCCGCTCAGACTCAGAACTCACAGCTTACAACAACTCACAGCTCGCAACTCAATGTGTCGCCTACAAATCATAAAAAATACGAAATACAAAATACAAAATGCGAGTACAACTTCGAGTGTCTTGTTCTCTTGCGGCTTGTGCCTGAACTTCTCTGTTTGCCTGTCTGCTTGTCTGCTTGTCTACCTCGTCGGCCGGTGTTGTGCCAACACATTTTTCACTTTTCCCAATTTACAATGCAGCAAACCATGGCTCAGTTTTCTGTTTGCTCACAGAACTCAGTTTCGTTTTCTGTTTTCTGTTTTTTTTTTTTTGCTTTTGCCGGAAATCAAACTTAACAATTTCGCGCCAGTTTGGACTAAAACAAATTACAAAAAGCAAAACTTGTTGCTGTGGTTTTGTTAAGTACGTCACTTCAATTTGTTTTTTGTCTTTTTTATTTTATGACCCCATTTGGTGGGGGTGGCGCAGCAAAGTTGTGTAAACATTCGATCGTCATCGTCACCTGATTCATAATGGTTCTTGAAGGCCTAACTGTGCTTAACTCTGCGCCTTACGAGTTCCATAAAATTTCAAAGCTTTTAGGTGCGTTTTTATTTTATGTCACTACAGGGAAAATCCCAAGTACAAAACGGAATAATAATAATTAAGGCGACTGCACATAAAATTTATATGCAAATAAAAAAATTACACAGTACACATTTGCTTTAGCTGTTGTCTAAAAGCAACTTGACGTCTTGAAAGGAATATTTTCAATATTCAACATTCAATAATACAATTTAAACCACAAATTAGTAAATTCTGGCATACAAATTTGGTTTCCATACAAAAATTATATAATTTATAGTATCAAAAGTAACAGAAACTTAGAAATCGAGTTGATTTAAAACTTGTTTCATTGTTTTCTTAGAAATAATTATTTATAAATAAATAATGTGTTAGAATTGTTTTTATAGACTTGTTGTATATCAAAATATTAAAAAAACAACAAAAAAAAAAACGAAGCAATATTGAGTTATTGTATCTAAAATCGACAGTTTGATAATTGTAAATTACCTTGAATGGATGATGTTTCATGTTTTTCATATCAACACCATATCAACCTATATAACGCTTTTGCTGAACATTTCGAATTAGTTAAAATCTCAATAAACTGCGCACACAATTTTAAAATTTTTTTGTTGGGAATTTCCAAAAAAAATTCTTTGTGTTACGATATTATATTTTTTTATTCAACTTGTCAGAAATGATCGATTTAAGTAGAATTAGAATGACTTAATGAATATGATTCATAGAAAGTCATTCGAAGTTTTTGGATATCAAAGTACAATGTATACGTCAGCAATGAAAAATTAGTGTTGAAATTTAAATATTAAATAAATATGCGACATTTTTTTTAGCAAGATATTTAAATCTATTAAATAAAGTAGTTTTACCAAAGTCATTATACTATTGTTGAACGAAAGTTCAATGAATTTTCTACAGAGATAGTAAAATGCAAACGTGATTGTTTATAATCTAGGGTGTAGTATGATATGATACTGTACGATATGCTACATGCACGTGCCATTGTTTGTGCTTATGTATTTATGTATGTATGAACCTGAAAGTTTAGTTAAGATACTGCTACCAAACGACAATAGTATCTTATCCGTTAACTGCTATCAGCATAAACAATCAGCTGTTTGCTACTGCTGCTGGAGAGCTGGGAGGTCATATTTGATTTTAGCCCCACCATCCCCCCCATCGGTCGATTGGCTACGTCATCAATAGACATGGACAGATAAAAACAAAAAGCCCAAGAAAATATTTAATACAATGCATAAGTTTAGCCGTCATGTAAAAGTTATGTGAGTTACGAGTATTTGCTCAAGTTCGTCATGGGTGCGGATACGCGTTTATGAATGAAATCCGTGCAGTCACACCTACAATGCTTGTTTTTTTATCTATATAAACAAAAGATATTGGCTATATGCATAATCGCACCTCTTTTCGCTTTCATTTGACGCTGCCCCACGAGGGGCGGTACAAAAGTTAAGAACCTGGCGCCACGAATAGATTTGTCGGCTATCAGCTTAATTAAAAAACTGCGTTGCAATGACTTTTTTCTAATGAAAATAAATAAGTATATATATACATATATGTAAGATTAGATGGCCGAAGCCAGCTGCATTTACAACTCCATTAAAGTGCCATCAACTAAATGGCCTAAGCCGCTTTGACCCTTGAGTTTATCAGCCGTCAACGTCAACTGTCAACTGGCGACGCGTGTCTAATAAAACTATCTAACCCTGCAATGGACTATCGCAATCAATTGCAGCCGCTGATGCCGCCATTGACCAAATGTTAACTGCTGCTCGATTGCGATTGGTGGGCGTTGCAACTTCCGCTGCTGCAGATTACAAAAAAAAAAAATAAATAAAAATAAAGGAAAAGGCAACCCCCATGGACATAAGGGTTGGCAATTATTTCATTCATAAAGCATTTCACTTCCACATTTCATGGGCTCATCCCTTACTTGGCTCCGGGACCAAAGCGAGGCGATAAGATTGACATAAATTTCTCATTACCAGCGTTTCTTTAGGTAACATACAATAAAAAAATTGACCTTTTTGTCATGAATGAACCAACTGCGCGTGCTGGGCCAGGACCCAATGATATTCTATCCTTATATGTGGATATGTGTGTGTGTATCGTTTAAAGGTATTTTGACGCCACCGCCGCAATTTCGCTTTGGCCTCATAAAGATAAAACATCTTTCCACATTCGACTTCTTTAATGGATTTTTCTTCTTTATTTTTGTGAAATGTTGCAGTTGTGGATATGCATGCAGGCGACTGGTGAGTCATTCATTATAAATCAATTTGTCTTATCTTAGTGACAATTTTCCCTGTCTGTCCCTCTAGAAAAAAATCTGTTAACTGCCGCTGGCGCTGCTGCCGTTTTCGACCTTGCTTACAGCGAAGCAAAATGGTTGGCCGTAAAATTGACAGCAAAAAAATTAAAATAAATAAAATCAAAGCTTAGGCCGTAATTAATCACTAACGATTTCGTTTTAATATTCATAATATTGTTAAGTCTCTGTTGTTTTGGAAATGAATTCGTTAATTCGTGCTATTTGAAAACATATCTTTGAACAGACACAGTCTTCTCAGCTCATTAACGTTATGGTTAGAAACAATTGAAAATGTTTATGGCAATACCATAAAAAGTTTATAGGTTCTGTTGTTGCTCATCCGTAGCTACTCAAATTTAATGAACCGGTGTGAGAAACCACTGGCATCTTTTTACGGCGTCAAACTCCTTAGATGCTACATTCTAATAGCTCACGCTGTCTTGTTAAAGTATCTATAGATAAACTGATTTCAAATGCAATACTAGTTTTTTTTTTAATTTTTTGAGCGAGTTTTTATTTTTATTTTACTCATAGAAAAGCTTTCTTTCAATAAAATCAAGATTTTGAAACTGAAGCTAAATGCCTAATAAAATAACTTAAATATATATTTTTTTAGAAATTGATTATACTAAGGCAGATAAATTTTAGACGAGTTTATTGTTAATTAAGAATTTAATTAGCAGCATCACACCAACTTATAAATTTATTCTCATTTAAATTTCTATATACTTTTTTTTATTTTTTAACAATCTTTTATTTATACGAACCTTCACCTGCATCTTGATATCGACAATTTCAATACTATTGCAAACCATCAAATGTTCGTTGCCTTAACTTTTGTATTGTATTGTTGTTTAGTTTTATCTAAGTTTAGTTTTTTTTTATCACTTGAATTCTGTTTTTAAAAATGATCACATGCACTGTTAAATGTTTTTGTTTTGTTAATGCTACAGAAAACACCTGTTGAAGAAGCGCGCGCAATGAAAATGAAATAATTATTTGCTTCAATTTAAATCGGAAAAATTCACGTAGCAATTGAATAAATGTGTGCGCAACTTGTGTGGGCAAAATTAGTAGGATGTGCTTTTGGCATCCGTAGAGCGTTTTCGTTGTTTCCCGCGCGGCATTTAATAATAATAATAATAAGTGCTATTTTTTCGAGACCAACTCGAGCCCGGGCTGATGGCGACGACAACACCGACAACACCGAGAACAACGACAACAACGAAGACAGCAGCAGCGATACCAACACCGATGTCGACGTCGATTTGGACGCAACGCATTGCGGTGCCTGCCGCGTTTAGCACCTTTGCCTCAGCGCCCAATTATAAAACGCACACAAACGCAGCGCTCTTCTCTTAGTGGTATATGGCATATAGCACATTTGCGGTTGCCCGAGTGTGTGTGCGAGTTATGATTTATTTCTATGCTCTTACAGCGCTCTTGTATCTGTCGTTGAATTTATGTACAGGTATTGGTTATCTTATCACAGCAGCGATAAGCCTGCAACTGTGTGTGTATACACGATGTGTATATGACGGTGTGTGTGTGTGTGTGTATGAGGGAGTATGTGTGTGTATGAATAGCAAACAACAGGCCTGCGGGCAGCGACGTCGAGAACGCTGCTAGCGATAAGTATCTCATAGATACAAATTGCGCATACGTGCTCAGATATATTCAGTGGCGTCAACCAAAACCAAAAGCCAGTCACAGGTCCACATTTATATATGTAAACATATATATATATATATATATATATATATATATATATATATATATATACCTGTGTAATATATATATATGGCTTATGGACAAGGCTTCAGTTTCAGCTAAAGGTATAGCTTGTGCCCCTTTCGATTCTATATTGCTGGCCCAGTCAGCTATTTGTCGATTGTGCAATTTGCTTGGCGCATTTTCTAATTACAGTCGTAAAACACTTTCTGGCAAACTAATAAAACGCGCCAAGTTAGTCAACACTTGGCTAACACGGGCACATTGTGTCAGCAGACACCTGCCCGCAGCCAACTTGTAATTTATATGGTGGCCCCCGACTCTCCTATAAGCTCGTACCAACTCACTATATGTGTGTGGGCTACTCTGTTCTACTTAATAATTGTCTCAAGTGTCGTAAAAAATAACAATTCACAACAACAACAATCATTGAGGGGATGTGTGTGTATTTGAGCACATGCTGACACTATTCGACATACTCAATTCTGTGCTTCAACACGCACAACGATCACATGTGGTTGAGGATCAATCGAGCTGTGTTGCAAAATGTTCCGAGATCTAATCAATAATGTCTTTTATAGTAATAAATCACACATACTTCAGTTACATATATTTAAAATCTCTACATTTTTAATAACATATGCAGAAAACCATCCTAATAATTGGAAATTCTAGATTTTACGCTGCTATATGCAATTTATGAAAATTACTTTCTCTTTATCCTGCTCGACTAATCAGTTGTATAATTATTGTTGCCATTAGAGTGAGTAAAGTGAGCTAAAGCCACATAATTGTTAAACAACAAAGCTCAATAAATTGGTTACAGTTTCTGAATAAATATTATCCAATTGCAGTGAAAATGGATGAGTATTTATGAATGCAATCTGCTAAGCTAAAACTGTTGATTATAATATTTCATCAATTCCAGAAGTGTTTTGGTATTTGTTTCAGTTCGACAACACTCCGAGTGTGAAACATACCAAATCACTTCTTTACTATAATTTTAAGTCTGAATATAAACAAAATAATGAAAAATCTTATTCAGAACCCGTTGTGCAATAGAGTTAAGATCATTCTGCCGCTGCAAAGATTTTCAAATGTTGTGTGTATCCTCGACAGCGCCAAGTAAATAATAATAAGTAAATATGCCCACATAAGTATATTTACCAAAAAAAAAAAAAAAAATACCGGTCTTGGCAATATCATAAATTGTTTATAGTTACAGCCATAAAGCAAACGAATATATGACGGTCATTAACATACACCTTATATCAGAAGAGAGCAGCAGGCGGGCGGGTGAACATAAATCAAATTGGATGAAAAATGACCCGGCCAGTTTGCCAAGTATATATGTACATATGTATAAATATATATAACTGCAATTACTTGCAACTATCTCCTTGTGTATAATGTGTGAGCACACATCCAGTATGGATTCTATTAGCATATCGCTAACAATGATAAATTTAATTGTTTCAACTTGTGGTAAACATAAATCATGTGGCCAAATCTTAAAAGCACAGCCAAAACAAAAGTATCTAATAGTTTGCCTGTTTAAAGTAGCCACACTCAATGCATATTTGAGATATGCTGGCCGGAAGGTGTCACAAAACATCAACGCTGTGATTAATAACAAGTGCAAAATGAAACTCAAAAAGCTGACAGCTTTCAGCCCCCCATTCTTCGTTCCAACCAACAACTCTGACGTTGTTACAAATGGCGCAACATGAATTCAACATTACGATTAACTCGAAGGACTGCAGAATAACGTCGTCTGGCGCTCTGAATCAGAGTCAGGCCAGTCGAACTGTTGTTTATAGGTAAGTCGTGCAATTAATACCCAAACGTTGATGATACAAGCCGCCTGGCTTAAAATATTGAAACCTACAATTTATGGCCATAAGACGCAAGACTTATTGGCGGCACAAACTAAGGAATTTATGGCACTCAAATCTTCCATTGGGTTTTCTGACCAACAGCATTATAAGTACGGACTATATTTATATATACCCATATACATATTTATAAACGGGTGTTCCTATCTTTCCTAGAATCACACTTTTTTATACCCTTCAACTTGTCCATGCAGTTTCAAGTGCTACGCTCCGCAAAATGAAAACGAAACTCAGTTATCAGCACTTCTACGCTTTTTGACAGTATCGCTGATCAGTTGAAGCACTAGCTTTTTTTGAAATTTAATTTATAAATTGTATATATAACATGCGCAACAATTGCTGCTTCAAATTGGTTGCGTTCTTTTCAACTTTTTGTTCGTTTTGTATTTTGCTTTTTGTTTTTTTTTAGCGGTCGTCTGGGCGGCTGATAAGGAACTCCAAGAAAATGAAACGCCAAAAATGCCAACAAAGGCGCGCCATAGTTTTAATTACTTACTTATAACTGAAAATGGGAACAGCAACAAAATGCCATGCGGCATTTATATTTCGTTTCTAATTTTTCATTAAATCCATGCTAGACTGTGGGGGATGGGGTCGGCACCACCACCAACCACCAAAGGGGAAAACAACCAGTAACGTCCACGGTGTTATGGCGTGGTTCAATCAAATTAAAATGGAAATTTTGTAATGGCGGCAATGTTGTTGGTTGTGTTGTTGGTTGCTGGTGCCGTCTGCTTTCGGTTTGGTGAAAGCAAATTGAGTTCAAGTAAATTTCTATTAACCTGCTATGCTCTTTGGCCATAAATCATGCATGGCACACAATGAAAGCCTCGCAGCTACCAACTGCCAGCTACAAGCTACCGGTGACGTGAGTCAGTTATAAAAATGAATTTACGAGTAACTGACCGAAAAGATGTCTCACTGAGAAGACAGGACAAATAAATAAATATTCTTAGTTTATTAACCTCGATAATATTGAGCAAAAAACTTTGATTTGATAAAGGTATAGTAATTGGAATTATCATCTTGCAATCGCTTCTAATATTAGTATCTATTACAATGATGAAACAAATTTACTACTTAGAATAGTTTATTGGGGTAAAAATAATAATTATATAACTTAATTATTTATCTTATGCAAACCATGCAGCTAGAAAACTAAGTTAACGTAAATTAATTATATTTAATTTATAGTACTGGAACTATAAGATATTTTCTTTTATATTTAATGTAGATTATATTCAAAGACACAGATACTGATCAACGAGAATCTGGCTTGTATTCCCAATCGTCGGATTGTGCAACTTGAAGTAAAAGCTGTGTTCTGCAAGTTGTAGGGAAGACCATGGAAGTACATTAGATATTTTAAACATATTTGTATATATATACACATAGTGGAATTAAACGAGACTTAATACAATCAAAGATTTTTCAGCGCTCTCAAATCCTTTTTTTTCCATATCCACTGAAGGACCATAGCTTTATTTTATAATTAATATAAGCCATTTTAATATAATGTGTACAACTTTGCTAATTGTTCCCAGAACTAAATATGCTTGTTGTAAATTAGCTGAGTATAATATAAGTAGAACGTGTTTACATATAAAGAATATATGAACCATTATGTACCCAATGACAACACCCAATGGCAAAAGCTGTCTCTTTCACATGTTAGTCGCTTGGTAACGTAAATTGCCGTTTACCTTCCTTATACGCATACGCACCTTTGTTTACCAATATGGCCAGACATGACTCATTATAATAACTGGCAATCCATAATAATCCGTTGTCTGTCGCTGTTGTTATTGTTGTTGTTGTTGTTTGTAGTGTTGGCCTTTGTATTCGCATGGCCAGCGAAGGTTCGACAATAATAACAACGTGAACAGCGACGCCATTAACAATCATGGCTACTGGCGCTGGGGTTGAAATGGGCTTCTGTTACGGGTTGGTTTTTTTTGGGTAGCCAAATACATCGAACCTGACAGTCGCGCCGATATGACGAACATTATTAATTACTTATGAAGCAAACAGAAAAAAAAATATACGTTTAAATTAACAATACATTTTTGTTTTTGGTTTTCATGTTATTATTATTTGTAACGTGATTAAATGTATTTAATTGTTTATTGGAATTTCACTTGCACTTGTATTTTAGACCATTCCACTTCACTTGCTGATTTGATCGACGTAGGCGCGAAACGCTGCCGATTTGTGAGCGCTCTAAAGTAAACGAAAGAAAGATCCCCGTAAAAGTAGCGTCATGTCCGTGTCACTTTTCCGAGTAACCTGAGGAAGTGTTAAACTACTACGAATCGGGTATGGTAACTTTGCTCGTTTCCCCCAAATGGCATATTGTGCACAACTGATTGTTCCTATCAACAAAGTGATTTTTCCTATCGTCGTCGCATATAATACACCTCCATATACATATATTTATATATATATATATATAACATATCGAATATCTGAGAATAGATAGTGGCCTTAGATAAGTTAACGTATCTTAACAGAGATTTCGAGCTACAAGCACACACACTCTCACACACACTGGCATACAGTGGCAGCAACAGGCCCCCAAAATATGTAAGAACCCGCCGAGAGAGTCAGAGACAGCTACTCCTTAACCTACTCCAATGGGAGTCGACAACTGTTCAGTTGAGTTTAGCGATAACCCGATGTCCATATCTCTGGTCTGGTTGTGTCAACATCTATGACTTACCGATGATGTTCGAGGTAACGAATGGTAATCGCACTTCATTTGCATAACCGATAATGCTTGCCTTGTGACGTTGCCAATTTCTTGCTGGTGACCTAGCTAGATAAAAGTATCTAATCTTGGCTTTTGCGGCAATACTCGCATATAAATACCAGACACATGCACATAATCATAATAGTGGAATGCCACTGAATTTATAAGATAATGAAGATTTGCTATCAATTTGTCGCTGCTTTTATTATTATTGTTGTTGTAGCGGTAGGATATTGGTATCAGTGTTGGGGTATCATTTGAGGTTTCCCCAGCGCCTGCCTGGCCCTCTGATTGTTGCGTTTGGTCTCGTTATGGTTCAGGTTCTGCTTCTGGTTTCTGGTGCCTGTTCCTCTGTATCAGTATATCAGTGTTTGAACTGATAATGTCCCAAGATAATAAGCGATAATAATTTGAATTTTTCAGTAATTCCTTAAGTTTGGACACCCAACGGCATGGAATCTAATCACAGTTGGTGAGTGTAACTGGGATTTTCAACATGGAAACATTGTTCTTTTCGTAGCGCGCTTGTTGCACATTTATAGGATACTTAACATTAAAATAGATCACAAATCAAATCAAATATTTAAATACAATTAAAACCCTGTCACAGTGTGATTTGTTATTGCATTAAACCAATTAATGTAATCCATAAATTCCCCAAAGAACTTAACAGAAATACTGTTTGAAAAAACGCATTTAATTTGAACAATAAACTGTTGAACGTGTATTGTGCATGGAGGAAGTATCATAAATATGCCTAAAAAGAATTTATTGCATAATAATTCCAGCTTTTCAATGATTCATATCGAGACGGTGCTCTTTTAATTGAGTAAAGCAGCTGATGTGTTAAACGATCAAAGCTTAATCCGTTTTTTAAATTAATTAGACGATCATAATTCTCAATTGGGCCTTAAAAGCTTTAAAAAGTTCAAATCGCTTACGGACAAAAATATGCATAAGCAAAAATTCAAGTAGCACTTGAAACAAAAAGTAGCCGCTCAAATAAGTGAACGATTTTCGCCAACTGATTAGATAAAAAGGCGCATTAATTAAAACGATTTCCTCGAAGACTTAATTTTAGTACTTATGTGAAGAGTACTTTGGACAAAGTTCAGAATAGCGTTATTAATTTGTTAATTGTGTAGTATGTGTACTTTAAATAAAGGACTTCCGGCTTATGTACATATAAATCACGGGTATATATTTGTAATTAAAAAAGAATTTGGAAAATGTTTTTCATCTCAATTAAAGTTATTGCTTTTGATTTGTTTTGACTAACAATATTCCAATGAGTTACCAGTTATATACAATAGGAATGAATGATGAATTTTAATGCTGTGAAAAACGAGAATTAAATATAATTTAGTATAAGCCATTGACCTTAACTTTGATAAACGATTTCTTACCATACAAAAAATATATTTATATGAAATTTGAATTCAAAACAAATTGGAAAAAGTAAGTACACCATTATAAAGTACAAACCATTATTAACAGAAGGGTACAGCAAAAATGATAGCAAAAACCACCAATAAAGTATTGAATGCGGGTTATTAAAACCGAACAATATTGTTCATGTTGAAAGTCTGTCTTCAGAGTTCAAATTGCGAAGACATTGTTTTAAAAACGATGTTGATGACAAGCCCGTGTCTACATACTTTCATTTGTGTTTATGAGCTTGCCGCAAGCCTCTAGCCGCACGCTTCCCGACTCTGACGCTTTGGCATGTTGCTGTCACGTCGCCGTTCTGTCATTGCGTCGACAGTTGCCCTCCACAGTTGCTGTTGCTTTTGCTGTTGCTGTTGCTGTTACTGTTGTCTGTGCTTGTGCTTGTGCTGCTTCTTCTTTATTTCATTATCTTAAGTACACATTTTGAAGTACAAACGTCAGTTGGCGATAAGGCCCACAAAACGTAACGAGGCAAAGAAAGAAGACATCAGCCCAGAGAACTGTAGCTGCCAAGTCAACAAAGCAACAACAAAGTAACAACAACAACTATAGCAACAACAATCAGAGCAATGAAATGTTGCGCTGCTCTAAATGGAAACTGTTTGCATAACCAACCAGAGGACGGGGAGTTCACCTACGGGCAGGCAACCAAAATGTTCTATTTACATTGTGTTTTCTACCAGGAATTTTCAGCGCAAAGTAAATCAAATAGTTGTCAACATTTAATTAGGGACACCGCATGTACAACACTTATTGCAATCGTCTTCCTGCATCTGTCAGATGCACTCATGTGCATAAGTATATACATGAACATGTGTATGTATACAAGTACTATCGCTATGCGTTCTGTATGCTCCTTTCTTTTACTCTCTGCATATGGTAAATACCATTATCAAATCATATTATCTTATTTATAAGCATTATCGTGCCCATACAGATTGCCTATCTATGGCAATGGGCATGTAAAAAAATAATATCTTACCGTGCGGTTATTTCGTTGCTCGCACAGTAAGTTTTGCACTTTCCATTTAAACACGCATCGCCGTCTGTCGTCAGTCGTATGTGTCTTCAGTTATATGTATATCCAGAAAAATAATTATAAAAATAACAATTATAATATATATGCGCAGCTTATGCGCCCCAACATCATAAAGTGATTTTTTGTTTCGGGCCGACAGCAATAAGTCAAAAGAGAAAAAACACCCCGTTCTAATAAAAATAGTGTCATAAAGCAACAGCGTCAAGCGAAAATTAACTCATCGTAAATTACAATCTGTTTATATGTACATAAGTACAACACATACGTGTATGTATGTATTTATGTACAATTTGTATGTGTATGTACTTATATGAGTGCGCAAAATTAAACATGGATGACGGGCAGCAAAAACGTTTAATATGAGAAATATCGTTCGCGCCCTTTGAACAGAATAATGAAAAAAATGTAGATAATAAATATCATTATTAGTTTATCTTATTAATAAAAAATGCATAAGCATAATTCGATCTTTATATTTGTGGAACTTTTATTATTTTAATAATAATATGTGCGAGCAAGAGTTCAAATCTGTCTATAATGCAATAATACACGATACAACAAATTCAACTAAATGTAAATATGAAATGCTAATTGGAAAATAAGAATACTTCAACAGTAAAATCGACTCAAATTAGTAGCTCTTCTTATGTGAAATATAGTCTTAAAACTGTGCCTAACTGTACTCTGGAATAAATCACAAGACTCTTGAAATTGTGCTTAACTGTACTGGATTTTTGAAGCTTACTAATCTTCCAGCAAGGACTTGTTATCCTTCATGAGCAAGAGCACTTGCCATAATTGTTATTCATTTCATATAGCAATTGCACCCCACCCTTGCCTCATTTTATGAAGCAGCTGAACAAAGCAAAAACTGTTAGCATTCATGGCACTGCACAGACATACATACACACACACGCACACGCACACATACATGTACATGTGCATGTGTGATCCACACATTCGACATATGCACACATACGCACGCTATCAATTTATCTTGCTTACATTATGTACAACGCCCATATGTATGTGTGTGTGTGTGTGTGTGTGTGTTAGTGTACGTGTGTATTAGTTATTGTTGGCTTGCGAGTGTGGTAACTTGTGCGCCATTTTGAAATCAAGATGGCGACAACGATAAAGCTTTTCAGCACTTGGAGCGCTAGTGTTTTTTTTTTCTTGTTGTTTTTTTTTATTTATTGCTGGTGCGTTGCTCGCTGCTGTTGTTGTTGTTGTTCCCGTTTGTTGCCGTCGCTGTTTTTTTTAGTGCTGTACTACGAATCTCCAAGTGGCGTTGCGTACATTTTGAAGTGTTGCCTCAAAGCTGAAGCTTTTCACTACAGTTTATGTGCATGTATTTTATGGTATTTAAGACAATTGACAGCCTCTTGAGTTATCAACTAACTGATCCCATAGCTGAACAGTTACTAAAGTCAACACACATTAATCAATTGGTTTTGCAAAAATATCAAACTGAATGCAGAAATCAAAACAATGAAACTATATCTTATCATGCATATACATATGATATCATGTAAGACGTATGTGGCAAGTGTGGGCCATTATCATCCCCATTATCTGAGCAAAACATTGATAGGCAACCATGACCCAGCCCCAGTTTCAACGCCGAACAGGCAATCTGTAGTTTTCAGCTTCAGCACAAGCTGTGGCGCTTAAATATCTACAATGACCGATTAGAGTTTTATTTTAGAAACAGAGTTTTGTTTTAGAATAGATCGAACCATAATATGTATATCAAAATTAGTGGCCAGAAAGTCAATTACTTATCTCATATCTAATGTCAGCCTATTCAAGCAATATGTTAGTCATATTGAATATGTCTGATATTTATTTTATCAATAACGCCTGCCAAAACTAATTCGCTATAAATATGTGGACCAGGTGACTCTGCCGCTTCGCTGGCTTATCAGCTATCAATCAAACCAAGCACCGCCTGCAGCAAATTGACGTGCGGGTGGGGTGGTTAGGTTGGAGGAAATGGGGTTTCCACTTGAACATTGCACGAGCTGACAGTTTCGAAAGACCCCCGAGACTTTTGTACAGTCACGTAATCAGCCCAACTGTCCGCCCATTCCCCTCCCGTTCTCTCAACCCTTGCTTATGCAAACAGCGCCGTCAATAAACAAAACTTTTTTTGCCATATAAAATGACTTTTTGATTTTGACTGGTTGTTATTGTAATCTTTGTTTTCTTTTTCTTTTTTTTTTTTTTGTTACGCGTGACTCTAATAAAAAAAGCAAATGTACTGAAACTTTAATCACAAAAAATAGAGCAAAAATCAAATATAAATAGAGAGAGCAGCAAAACCGGGAATGTGACTTTATCTTATCACACAACAAAAAAATTGTCGCTTTCATAAATGGCGACGTATAAAAAATACATACTACACGAGCATAGAGCGATGTATGTATCTATAACTGAAAAAGCATTTGATATTCGAAAACTGTAAGCAACGCCAAATGTTAGGCATATAGTAAATTTGTACATGTTTTTTTCGACGCTCTCAGTAATATAAAAAGTTACTCTTCTTTATTATTTATACACTCAGTGGCGATTAGCTTTCATCAATATTTCGCTTTTACAGATATTCAATACTGTCATCATAATTGCAATTTCAATTAACAGTTATTCAATTATAAAATTGGCAAAGGGCTTAATGAAGTTAAACAGTTGAAAACTATATACATGCCGATATTAGAGACATTGAGAACTGAAGACTTAACATTTGTAATATTTGTTAAATACTTGGTACAAAATCTTAATTTTCGGGTTTCTGAATGCAATTTTTGGGACGCAGATAGACAAAAGACATCGAATTACAAGTTTGAAGAGAAAGGAGCAGAAAATTCCTTTAGTGGTTATGAAAGTAATAGTAAATTTATAGCATATCTGTAACTCCACGGTTACGGTTACACTTGAGTGTGCAAAAATATTTCAAGAGTAAAATTGTCATTGAAACGAGAACCAGAGTTTACAAGAATTAATAAATTATACTAAAGGATTTTAAATTTTGTAAAGAAAAAATACAATTTAAAAATTTGTAGCAAACAAGAAAAAATTTAGTTGGTGGAAAAAATAAATTACACATCACTAATAATCTTATTTAACGAAAAGTTAACAAAACTTTCCGACTGATCAGAATTTCGGAATGAGCAATTTTATTAGGTTAATTTACAAAATAGCATATAATAGAAATGTCAGTTGCTTGGATGGTACAATCATCTAAATGATTATTTGAACAGATAAATGTTCGACTTCAATTTAAATTTAACATAGGAACATAGGAAAAGTCGAAGTTACTTGATTTTAATAAACCTGTTAGATGGTTAATGAAGGAAGTTAAGGAAAAAATGTTATTAACAGAATGACATTTTTATTTACATTTATTTTCTTAGCAGCCCAAAAGAATGCAACAGTTTTTTACTTAAGGCATGTTGCAATAACAGGGACTTAACAGATCGTTTACACTCGCTAGCTCTTTGTTGCGTTTCGTATGAGTCAGTGGAGGCTTGTCGATTACAACAATTTCGATAAGTCCAGTTAGACATTAAATTTTTCGTGGGAGTCCCACAATTGGAAGAATTAGACTATTTTTATTCTGCAATGCAATCTAAGAGTTTCAAACAGATTTTTATTTTATTCAAAATTAGAATTGAAAGTAATTGGTAGGCAGTCTGAAAAATTCCTAGCTACGAATAAATGAGATCATACATTTTGGATACTTGTCGTTTATTTGTTCAAAAATAATAATAATAATATTGCAAAATGAAGTAAAAAGTTGTACGAGACTAAGACTTAATTTAGCCTTAAATACATAAAATGTTATAAGTTACTAACTAAATTGCATGAGATAATTGTTTTACTTCATATTTTCATTATTGCTTATTAATAAAAAAATAACTTAAGAATCTAATTGGAATTTGATGGTAAGAAATCTCATGTGTTATTCATATCCATAACAGAAAATAGTATTGGGGGCGTAACAACAAAAATCCAACAACAAGAAAATATCATGCTGCAGGCATTTCGCTAAAAATTAAGCTAATATTTTAAATAACAAAACCCTAGTAGTTCGGGGGGCGTCTTTACAGAATAGCTTATGGGAATATCAATTCAATTTGCTTAAATTTATGTACAAAACGAGTGCGTTCTTTTTTATTATTTTTTTTTTTTTTTGGTTTTGGTGGTTTTATAGGCAAGTTGTTGCAAGTTCTTAGAGAACTATTGGTATACGCAATTGAAATTTCTAAACTAAAAATGATTAAAAGTTTCTTTGGAGCTGTGAGATTTATGTAACAACAATATCTTTGGTCATGACAATCAGCATCAACTGACATTTACTCCATTTTAACAATTGTCTCGCGCTCAACGCCATATTTGCGTTCAAATTCATGCAGTTGCTGCTGTGCAGCAGCGTGTAACGCATAGCTGGCAATCTGTTGATCGTGTTGTTGCTGTAGAGTGTGTTGCTGCTGCAGTTGCTGCTGGCGATGATAGGCGGCCAGTTCGTAGTGCTCATCAATTGATGTTGAGCGACTTAGTAACATTTCATCATGTTGCTGCTGCTGTTGTTGTTGATGTTGTTGTTGCTGCTGCTGGTGCTGTTGGTGATCCAACTGCTCCAGTTTTATAATGGCCGGTTGCTCCTCCTCAGCTAGATGATAGTAGGGGGATGAGGTGCGTCCGCTTAGCGCCGATTTACACAAGGGCATCTCCGTCTGACCAAGCTGTTGATAGGGATTTTGCAGGCTGATAATGTTGCTGCGATTGTGACTCAGTGAGGATAGTGTGCTCGATGCCGTGGTCGGTGTTGTTGCTGTTGTTGTGGCACTTAATTGCTTGCTGTTGCTGCTGCTGTTGTTGCTGTTGTTGCTGTTGGAGGCCGACTCCGATTTGATTGCCGTGTTCATGGCCGCCGCCGCTGCTGCTGCTGCTGCCGCCGTAATGGAGTTCGGCATCAGGTGCATAAGTTGCTGCTGTGCCAATAATTGTTGATCGTTGGTGTTGCGCATTGGTTGAGCTTGTAGATATTTCTGTATAATTTGTTTGTTATTCTCATTGTTATTGTTGTTGTGATTAAATAGTGAATTGTTGTTGTTAAGCTGTGTAGGCGATGGTGTGGAATAAATGGAATGTGACATGGCTGATGTGGGCGTGCTAGGTGAATGCTGCATGCTGCATGATTGCTGCTGCTGATGCTGCTGCTGCTGTTGCATGTTAATGGGCGACATTTGATAGGAGGATGCAGGCGACATGTCCAAACCAGCACAAAGCTGTTGCTGCTGCTGCTGCTGTTGCAGTTGTTGTTGTTGTTGTTGAGATGCTGCATTGGGTGATAATGAGGAGGAAGCCATGCATTGCGGCGAGCTGGCCGCTGATGAATGTTGCTCAATGTTTAGTTGCTGTTGCTGCTGTAGCTGTTGCTGTTGCTGCGATGCGTATGACATATATGCGAGTGGTTTCATTTCTGATGTATTGATGTATAGGTGTGTGTGTGTGTTAACAACATGCAGGGAGAGAGAGAGAGAGAAAGCAGACATCACAAATTAGGCATGCGCGCAAATACAAAAAACTATGTGAGTGAGAGAAAATGAATTCAAATCCGCAAATTGCAATTTGAATACTTTAGAACTCACCATCATTGACATCCGACATTTGCTGTTGTTGCATGTTCACATTGTGGCAGGCATTGGTATTTGTGGCAACCAAGGCTGCCGTCTGCGAAGAGCGCATCTTTTTCGACTTTTCACTCTTGGTGCCCTTCGGTTTACGTTTGCGTTTCTGTTCACAGTTAATTAAGAGATTCAGTTCAGAGACTTAAAACTTCTTGCAAGGTACAACTCACCTGTATGGTGTCCTTTTTCATGGTCAGCGGACGCACCACATTGTGCAGCTTGAAGTAAAGGCCGCAGGCATTGCAGACGGGCTCGCCGCCAGGATTGCGGCGCCACAGCGATGTGTAACTCGTCTGGCAATTGGAACAGGACATGCCAGCACGTCGAGAGGCGCTCTGTAAACATTTGTGCAACAATAGTGTGTATATTAGTATGTGTGTGTGCGTGTGTGTTTTGCTTTATGAGTTTTGTGAGTGTTTCACTTTTGCTTTTGATGTGGAACAATATTTTTTTAGGGGTAAGGAAGGGGTGGGTCTCTTGCTCAACGGGTACCAAATTAAATAAACCAAACAATTTAAAATTTGTTAATATCTGTATTAGTTATTTAAAAAACTATATAGATGTTATGGATATTAAGTGTTAGATCAAGCCTGACTGGACGAAGCAGACAGAATTCGTTTTTACATTTATATTTTTAATCCTATTTGATATGAAAAGCAAAGATTATGTTAAAATCATTGCCGATCTAACCAGATCTGAAAAATTATTTCTTAAATTTGTTGATATTTTAAATGTTTTATCCAAGAAAAGTTCAGAGTTATCTAATGAACAGCGTTTCTATGAATTACTGGCAACAATATTAAATAGAAATTTAATAATAATAGTTGAATAATGTTAGTTTGGAAATATTTGTACTAACAACTGAGTTGAACTATTAGTTATTGTGGATTTAGTTGCAATTAGTAATTGGTAATAATTGTGATTGGCATGTTAGTTGCAGGTTTTAGTTGATTGGTTTGGCTTGCAGGTTTGTTTGGTTTGGTTTGTTGGTTTGGTTGGTTTGATTTGGTTTGGTTTGGTTGGCTACTACTACTATTCGTAATTAATGGACGACCTACCAAGCGTCTCGAATTGGCGCGACTAACGTGCTCGTCGAGCGCCGTTGAAGTCACTGACGACGTTGTCGCTGACGTTGAGCCTGCGCCGGCACCGGCAGCGCTGTTGGCATTTATTGTGGCCTTAATGCGGCTACCGGCGTTCACGTTAAATGGGAAGGTCTTATAGAAATCCCCGCCTGATTCAGCGGCCACTGTAATAATGCAATTAGAATTTGTTGTAATGAAGAAAAGCGGTTTTGTTTGTTTTATGTTTTAGTTTTTTTTTTTTTTTTTTTTTTTTTTTTTTTTTTTAGTTTTTGTAGTTGTTGTTGTTTTTGTTCAGGCATACAAAACTATGTAATTTGCGCTTGACTAATATAATAAATTCAATTAATTTTCTCTTTATGCATTTCTTGGTTCCATATTATAATGGTTCAGGTTTGATTTCAATGATTGAAGCGAGAACGTTGCACGCAACTGCAGTCTGGCTGGCGGATTTCTATAAGTTCTTATAGCCCATTGTTCAAGATCTTGCTTGATTTCGCTCTCTAATAACATTTTGGAAAAATTTTGTTCCACACAAAAGCAAATTTGATTTGATTTTTTTTTTTTTTTTGTTAGTTGGTAGTACTTGTAATTGTTGTTGTTGCTGTTGACATTTACCAATCTTCTAGGCTGTTTAATAAGTGGTCGATTCATGCCGTTCATTTTATGATACAAGCCGCATGCATTGCATAAATAGTGTCCCGTGTTATCGCGTCGCCATAATGGGGTTGAAATCGCACCACAATTGACACATTCTCGCCCCTCAGTGAAAAAATCGGCATCGAGTAATGCTTTGGGAATTTAAGTATTAAGAAAAATCGAAATTTGTATTGATATTGATATTTTTGTTTTGGTTTTGCAATGTTAAAGAGTATTGTCTTTTTAATGTTTTTTTTCGTTTTTACGTTTATGTTTAAACATGTAGTTATGTAATTTTTTGTTGTTGTATGTGTGTGTGTGTGTGAAAAACATTTTCAATTGCGTTTTATTTGTTCACATTATTATTATTTGTATTATTATTTTATTGTATTATACTGTTTGTTGTGTTGTTTGTTTTGTTTTTGGTTTGATCATTTTGTTCAAGAATTGATAAAAAAAAAAATTAATTGAATTTATTATACGTTATGCTTAAATATAGAAATGTATGTGTTTAAAAAACAATACTTCAAAAAATAAATCACTTACGAATAACTTAGACGTTTGTTCTTATTGTGTGGGCTTTAAAAAATAATTATTAACCTTATGAAAGGTCCTAGTTTTGTTATAAGAGAATATATATTTCAAGGTCAAATTTTGATATAAATATACAATTTGTCTGCATTAAGAGGACTATTCGTATAGAAATTTCGTAATCCTTACTACGACAGTTTTAAATTTAAGCTGATTTCTAGAAAAAAAAAAACAATATTGGATATCTAGGATTTAATTTGGCGTGATTAAATGAATCAATTTCAATAGTAATAAAAGTAAAACATAAAAATTGGCTCTTATATGATTCTAGTGCTACGACAATTGTTTAATTTCCAATGGGCTACTCGAACTGTTTCTTGACTAAATAAATATGTGAATTTTTATTTGCACACAGATCGTTAGTTCTCAGCCTGTATTTCTATTTTAATGAAGAGGCAGCCAGTTGGAAGCAGTTCTTTTGCCCAAGTGCGGTTTGCATAGACTATGCAAATAACTGAAATATGCAAACATATAGTAGAGCCGGCCAGGACAACTGTTTGAGTGTGAAATTCTACCTAAGAAACCAGCTTGAGTTGAATGTGAGCTCGATTTGTGGCCACACGGCAGACAAATGTATGCTAAACTAGACCTAGGATTTATTTATATAGACATACGTATATATGCCACACTTACTTGCTGTTAGCGATGCCGATGCGAGGAACGCCCGCGCAGGATCGACAGCGTTGGCGGCACCATCGACAGCAGCAGCGGCTGCGGCTGCGGCAACAACGCGTCCATTGCGTATCACATTTGTAACCGCTGCACCACCAGCGTTGCCACCCAACTGCCCTTGGCTGTTGGCACTGGGCGTATAGCTCATTTGTTCATAATGAGTACTCCAGGCATCGCCCTAAGGAATCGAAACATAAAAACAGTGAAAAATTGCTGGACAACTGGACTTTTCTGTGGACTTGACTTACATGTGTGCGGTAATTGGGCAGCGATGCGTAGCCAGCACGTTCGGCACCACTGCCAGAGCCATTGGCCACGCCATTCCCATAACCAGCAGCACCGCTGGTCGGCGCAATGCGCTGGAAGGCTGGCAAAGTGCCACCACCCCCACTTGCGCCGCCGTTGCCACTATGGCTACTCTTTGGCGATCCATAGCCATCGTCCAGCAGCGAGCTGTGTCCTGCTGCAGTCGAGCCACTCGTGTGGAGCTGGCCCACTGGACCAGGACTGCTGCTCGTCGAATTGTGATGCTGATGATGTTGCTGTTGCTGCTGCTGTTGGTGCTGTTGGTGATGTTGCTGCTGAAGCTGGGCGTGTGTGAGGGTGGGCGAGGACACCGTTGGCATGCCATACTGCAAGCCATTGGCGGTCGATGCGAGCAAAGGACTTGCATAGACAGAGCTGCAAAAAGAAATATATAATTTAATTATTAAATAATTCATTTTAGTAATTAATTCGTAGATTTAATATTTACTAGAGTCGCCCTCAAATTATAATGCGTAGATTGAAGAGTAAATTCAACCTCTCATAAAATCAAAAATAACGAATTAAATATATTTATTTTTGTTTGAAAATTCTATCAATTAAAATATAAAAATAAATAATATATTTTACAAAAATATAACGTGTGTAAATTAAAATGTGCTGTTTGTATAAAATATTTCAAATTCTTGGAAATTCGATTTAAATAATTAAATTAAAAGTGCTTAAAAGTTATAATTTTCAGCGCGTTCTTACGGTGCGTTTTTTATTAACTTAGTATGTTTTACCTATAACAATAGTTTTTCAAATACATATTATTATAATTGGAGAAAAACATGTTGAAAGTATATTTTATTTGCTTATGCGAAATTTTTATCAACGTTGTTTTAATGAACTTATTTTTGAAGCGCGTTTACAATCGCGCGCTTATCATTGGGCGCGTTTTGTTAGCGTTTTTCTTACAGCTGCTTCAGCGATGCCAACTGTTGCTGTTACTACTACGACGCTTGGCGGCTTTTGTAAAATGAAACTGCTATTAACATTGCCTTGCATTGTTTACATTACAGAATTCTGCTTGTGTTGTTCTTGCTGTTGTTGTTGTTGCTAGACCACCAGCGTCAACTTTTGGCATGTTTATAAGGAGCTGTGTATGCGTATATATGTATGTGTGGGTGTGTGAGTGAGTGCTCGTGTGTGTGTAATTGAACGTTTGCGTGTGTGTGTATGTGTGTGTATGTGTGTGCACATAAAAGTTTTAATTAAAAATAAAAGTGTTGCAGCTTTTTTTGTTTATGCGACTCGAATTCCCCGCAAAGCTGCTTCAACGGTAGCCTGTGCAAATATTTGCGCTACACTTGGCCGCAGCATGTGGCAATTTCTTTTATTTTTATTTTCGGGCCTTATTAGGGCATAAGCAAATCCCCGATGAGGCAGACAAAAACTGCAAAGTTGCAAAATTGTCTGTTGTGGATCTTGTGGCCAGTTAAAGATCGGAAGTTGTTGTGTTCGAAGCGTGGCAGTTGCATATACAATCTATATCGAGAGCTACAGAATACGAACGGTATTCGGAGTCCTGCACAAGGATTTAAACTTTTACGCACACACACACAAATAGAACAGATGTTCAAAGCAACAGAGTTGCTTTAAATAATGCACATGGATTATTGTTATTTTGCACATGAAAACAATTGAATATCAGTGTAAATCATAGTCTCCATTGTCTTTTACAACCCTTTCAACTGAGAACTCAAATACTGTTATTATTTTTTGTGAACTCAAATCGATGACGTCTAGCTGAATAGCCTCGTTGACCACGCTAAGGTCAGGCACAGTCGCGAAAAGGAATTACGAAAAACCGAAAAATCAAAAACAAAAAAAAACGTAAGATTTTTTATGCTTCTTTTCCAAAATACAGTAAAGTGGGCAGACGATACAACAACCGAAACGGGGCACGCGCGTTTGCATAATGACTTGAGTCGGGTTTAGTTTTATGTCAGTTGCAGTTGACGCTTTTGTCGCTGTCAGCGTCGCTGCTGCGCTGTTGCCACTTATTTGTTGCTGTTGTTGTTGTTGTTGTTGTTGTTGTTGTTGTTGTTGTTGTTGTTGTTGCTGCTGCTGCTGCTGCTGCTGCTGCCTGCCTGCCTGCTAGTAGTAAGAGCGAAATCTAAGCAAGATGCGCTTTCAGTTGGTAAAATATGAATATGAATATGAATATATATACATATATATATATATATACAAAAAAACATTGGCTTGGGAAATATAAAACTTACAAATTAATTAACCGCTACAAAGTCCCCTTAGAATGTAATATACTCGTATGGATATATTCCGTATATGATACAACTTAACAGCGATGTTCAGAGCTGGAATAATATAAGATAAACTGGCAAAAAAATCACACAAATAACCTTAAATATGCCAGATGTAAGCCATTAAAAGTTGTATTTCTTATAGAATCCATATGATAAAAAAATTCCTGATGCTGATATATAAATAATTAAATCATTAGAAAACTTTAAATTAGTTAGTTACATGTCAAGTGTAATCAACTTCAAAAATAAGAACTTTATCTCAATCAACTAAACTCTTTGATTTGATTATATATACATTACATATTCGAATACAAGTTTAATCAACATAAAAATTGAGAGATTAGACTACACTGAACCTGCCACAATGTCGAATTTGGCTTAGCTCTTTGTTTAGTTCAAATATATATGAATATACTAAACTGGATTTTAAGGCGCAGATAATCATTATTAATACTACATTCTAGCTAAGCTAAGGTACTTATATGCTTTATCAAAGCATATATTAAATAGTTGTGAGATATGTATAAACCACACATATTCAGAATTGTATCTAAATCATTTCAGTTAAGACCAATTATTGGTAACTACACCACAACCGCGCAGATAACAACAATCACAAAGACAACGAATGCAACTAAAAAAGCATGACACATCTTGGCATATAAGAATGACTATTGTATATATGCCCAAACACACACACATAGGTAGCTTGAGATGTCGCACTCTGTTTGGCAACGTTCTTGGTACATAGGAAGTGCCAAGACAATAAAAATGCACGATATTATTTAATCAGTGTTCGGTTAATTGCTGCTGCTGCTGTTGTTGTTATTGCTCTTGCTGTTGCTGCAGTTGATGTTGCTATGTATTGCTGCTGTTTGCTGCAGGTGAGTATTTCGCGAAGTCTTCTTGTTTTCCATGTGGAATATGTGAGCTTGCCGCCGTATCTCACATCTGCTTCTGGTTTCTGCACAAAAAACTGGCCAAAAGTCACATACACGAACTCGTCACCCAGCCGCACTCCGTCCGGTCTGTCCGGCGTACACAGAGACGCTATGTACTAAGAGCCAAAAGTGCAAGACGCAAAGCACAGCAGATATGCAAAATGAGCTGGCCAAATGAACAACGGGTTGGTTGGTGGGTGGTGCAGTGGGTGGACAGGCAATCAATTATGGTGTACTCGTATTAATATTCCATGATTTTCAGTATTATATGTACCTAAAAACATATATTGTTCGAGTAATGCCAAGTAAGTTTTGTTATGGCTAATTTCATGTAATTGCAAGTATGCAAAACACGTTTTCAATTAGAACTTCAACGACAACAGAAATAAAAAAATAAAAATTTAAAATGCAAAAATAATAGCGAAATACAAACAAAAAAAAACGGACCCAAATATATTCTACGCGTCGCTCGCATTGTGCGGGTCCAAGTGGGTTTTTTTTGTGGGGATCGCCGAATCTTAGAGGCTCGTCGCCGCCAGAGTTGCCAAGAGAGCAGCTCAGCTGGAGAGCGCTGAGTCAGTATTGAGTGGCAATGACGACAACCCTGCGAAGTTGAGCCATCGCTTTATTTGAAGCTGTGTGTGTCAGTTTTCTATGTCAGAAGGTGGCTTTGAATTACCCCCAATCCGAGTCCGAGTTTGAGTCCAAGTCCCAGCCAGAGGCAGTAAGTACTACGAGTACTACGACATTCGGGGTCCCCCCTCACCGGCGGTATCCTCACACTCAAACAGTTTGCAACCGAATATATGCCGAACAAGTTGGAAAAATGCGCTTTCATTGCAGTTTGTGGCATTTGAATATGCATTTGTTTGTTGGGTGCAGGTTTACTAGTTTGGTTTTATTATGTAGCCGGCTAATGCGGGCCTTGCCCCTCTTTTGGCATATGCCACAATTTTTAGTGTGGCACGTGCGTGGCCCGAAACTTGAACACGTGTTGATGGCACAGGCCGCTTAGCCAGCATGAGTACTAACGTCTTTCTTTTGGCCACATTCTAAGGGCCTCAGTTTTAGTCAAGCGAGGAAAATAGTAACATGTGTGTTTGTACCGCCCCAAATATATAATTCAGTCAACAATGAAAAACATAAATGTGTGTTTGTGTGTGCAACTTGGGGGCAGTCTCATGACTCAGCACTGCTGAGCAACTCAGCTCAAATGTTTCCCCAAAGTCACTAATACCCGCAATTAACACACTGCATGTTTTTTGTTTTTGTTTATGAAATCGGAGCAATCGTTTATGATATTTTGCTTGCCTTTGTATTTCTTTTTTTTCGGGAGGAAACACTGAATGACTGGAAAGGCGCGTCTCTAAAAGTCCGCAATGCGAAATTGTAAACGTATTTGTATAGAAATACATACAAATAAAACGTTTACTGTGAGTTGTTTATTTTGATCGTGCTTAATGTAGGAACATTACAAGTAATCAAAGTGTACCTTGGAAATTCTTCTGTAAGGCAGAAAATGCATTCTATTGCATAATTTGCAATTTAGTTACGATCTTTTCAATTACAACCACTTAACAACATTTAAAAAAGTAATATATGCATATGGTGTTAAATTCACGAAAAATCAATGTAAAATGTAATTATAGTAAATCATTCAGCCTCCTTTCATAAAGAAATAATAGTTATATAATGTTGCAAGGGAGAAACCCAAAGAAACAGTTTTAATCACGTTTCTTCTTATGTATATTATTTTACTATAAGAAACCACGAAAGAAAATATTACTCATAGCTTCAGATATATGAAATTAAAGCATTTCAGCAATTTTTAAGTACAGAAATCATAGTTAGAAAAATATATTTGATTTTATTGCACTATTCAAATTCTATCTTTAAAAATTGTATATTTATTTAGGTTATATTTATCTTGATTGTCTAGTTCCCGAGCTCTGAAAATCCGTTTGAAGAATCCAAAATTAAAAACAACTGTATAAAAACAAATGTTGAAAAACATTCCAAAGTCAGTAAACCGGTGAAAGATGTAACAGGGAACAGATTTTTTGCTGCCCAACGGAATGCACATTTATATACATACATACTTACATACACAAATACATACATTCATATGTATATGTATGTGTATATTTTTAAGCATGTATGTATTATAGAGCAGCTTAATAGTTTGTATTAAACACATAGGTAAATGCATACACATACGTTGTATGCAAACCACCTGAGAATGCAATAGATGAATGTACTACAAATATTGAATATGTACGTGTATATGTATGTGTGTGCGTGTATGTGTATGTATTCAATGTATGTGTGTATGGAGGTTTGGTATATGTAGCTGGGGGACTGGGGCAAAGTCTAAGGCAGGCGCAAACAACAAGAGCAATAATTGAGACATTTGTGCCGTTATTAGAGAAACGTAACAAAAATCAAAGTCAGACAAGCCAAAAAACAAACAAAGTTTGAGTGCTCGACTAAGCAGATACGCTTTACACAGTTATAAATACCAAAATAATAAAATATTTGACTATATTGTCTTTCTTTCTACTTCAAACCGTGAAAGAATTTCGTTTTTTAGGCAACTTTTATATTATTTGCCCAATTGTTATACAATTTGCTCTTTTAAATTGACTAATAATTAAAGCATTAACTTAAGTATATTTTGATTTAGAGTTGTATTGTTATTATGTTTATGTATTCGAGATATCTTCTTCTGTTACTGCTACATACATTTTCGCAACATTATTATGCCCACTCTTTTAGCATTTTGAATGGGTAGAGTGAAAAATATAACAAAATGAAACACATGATTCAGAAACTGACGACAACAACGATCGCTGATCATGACTTTTGGTTGTGCGAATCGTCGAAGCGACACTGCGTTTTTCACCGAAAGGCACGTGCGAGGTGGGGGTTAATAATGAGCTCATTTTCGGGGTAGAGTCGTAGGGGGGCTTGGGTCGGGTGGTATTGGATAACACTCACCTGGTCTGCAGCACTGGGCTGAGCTGTGTGCTGAAATAGCTGCCTGGCGAGAGGCTGCCATAACTATCGCGATGCAAACCACTGCTGGGTGGCGCACTTGTTAATTGGGTAAAGCTCTGCAGCGTTGCCACATCGCTGGCATGGGCGGCGGCAAGCGTGTGCGAAGGCGACGGCGAATCACCGCCCACCGAACTGGCCGAATTGTTGTTGTTATGGTGTTGCTGCTGCGAATGATGATGCGAATGTTGCTGCTGCAAATGATGATGATGTTGCAGATGCTGTTGATGCTGCTGCTGCTGTTGCTGCTGGTGCTGTTGCAGCAACTGATCGTGCGACATGGAGTAAATGGTTGCATTTGCGTCCTTCAACACATGCATATCGGAGACAGCGGTCAGCATATGATAGCTGGTGCCATGATTCTCCTCGAAGCACTCGTCTTTCAGTGTATCCTGAATCACCTCATCGATGTTCGGCGTTTGGGCGTGCGTTGTGTGCGCAATGACTGAATTGGCTGCTGCTGCTGTTGCCACAGCGGCAACATGTTGTTGCAGCTGCTGTTGCTCGTGTGTGGTGGGTGTGATGGCGCTGCCAACGCCACCACCTCCTCCTCCTCCTCCACCGCCATATACGCTGTACAGCGTAAAATTGTTGCGCATTATGGGATCCGTGCTGCTGTTGCTGTTGGCACTCTGCGGTTGCTGCTGTTGCTGCTCGTACAAAAGGGCGTGGGGATGATTGTGATAGGGAAAATGAGCCAAAAGTTGCTGTGAGGCAGCCAGTGCATATAATTCAGTTTTATCCTGTTGTGTGGCTGCTGCTGCGGCTGCCGCGGCTGCTGCTGTTGCTGCACTGCTGCTGCTGCTAGTTAAATCGTAAGCGCAATTGTTGTAGGCCAACCAGCTGGCGTGATGCTCTTGTTGCTGTTGCTGATGTTGCTGTTGCTGCTGTTGGCTTAGCAATTGCTGTTGCAGATACTGTTGCTGCTCGTAAATTTGTTGCTGCTGCTGTTGTTGTTCTGCTTGTTGCTGCTGCTGATGTGCATAGTTGGCTATAATCACCGAATTGTTTAAGCCCCGATAATGCAACGGCAATTCAACTGTTGTTGCTGCTGTCGCAGTTGCAGTCGTAGTTTGTTCTTGCACGTTTGTTTCACTTTTGATTTTGTTGTCAACACTTTCACTCGCGTCGCTTTGCTGATTACTATTTATCACTGCAGCCGGCAAAATAGCTGATGTTGCTGTTGTTGTTGCTATTGTGTTTTCATCACTTATCTCACTTTTACACTTATCAACGATTTTGTAATATTTATCGCTCGCTGCTGTTGTTGTTGTTGTTTCTGTTCCTGTTGCTGTCTCTTCAACTAGTTTCGTTTCGCATTCGGATTTTAGCTCGACTTTATGTGGATTGTTATTAGCCGTTTCGTCTGCAACAGTTTTGCTAGTGACGTCACAAGCTACGTTATTTTCATCATAAGCAAAAGCGATCGTTGAATTTGCAATTGTTGCTGCTGCTGTTGCTGTTGTTGCGCTGGTAACCGCTTGCTTCGGTGTTTCGCTGGCAACTGATCTATGAGCCTTCGACTCAAATGTCGACGATAAATTCGCTGTGGCAAGCGGCGACAACGACAACGATGACGCTGACGGCGACGTCGTCGTCGTCGCTGCTTGCTGCCTTTGAGCGGCGCCGTTCTCCTGCGCTGCCTCTATTGCCGTCTCTTTCACAACGACCGCCTGGTGAGTGTAAGCTGCTGTTGCTACTGCTGTTGTTGCTGCTGTAGCTGCTGCAGCTGCATTTGATCCTGTTGCCTTGTCGCCAGCGCCTTTTTGCACTGCTTGCTTCTTGGCATTGGCCAGCGCTTTGGTGATCTTCATTTTGGCGGCATTCGCCAGTAAATTGCTCGGAACGCGCGGCATTGCGGCACTACTACTCTTAACTTTTTCCTTCGCCTTGCTAGTCTTGGTCATAGTTAGCCAAAGCTCACTGTACTGTATACAGTCGCGTAAGCACACTCGATCGCAGCGCTAAGCATTCAAGCCTTATGAATCGAATATTTTTGTAGGCAAGCTCCTCGCACAAGTTGTAAATGATCCGCGCTGATTACCGTACGTGTCCGAGTCCGGCGCGTTTTTTATACAAACTGAGCTCGAGCACACGCTTAATTTCGAAACGAACAAAAATCATATTAAAAAGTGTTTTTAAAACGCCACTACGAACATGCATATGTACATATTTATACATACATACATACATATGTCTGTCTGTCTGTATAGCGGAATAAGCACAAAGCAAATCAAAGCAACATCCCAAAACTCTCTCGCCTGTTTCACGCTCTTTCCATTCATACAATTACATTTTGTGCTTTGCACTTTGCCTGGTTTGCTCTACATGCCGTTATATTATTTTCATAATCATTATGCATGTTTCTATTTTCTCTACAGCTTCTAATGCCTGCGCCCAACAGCAGCACAAGTCAACAAAACAACAACAGCAGCAGCAACACAATTACAGAACTACACTCGCCGTTTCACATTGACTCTCTTTCCCTCTCATTTATTTGCTCTCTTCGATGTTCGTTGTTCTGCTCATTGTTTTCGTTCGCACTCTCTTCGAATATCGCTGTTGTTGTTGTTGCTGTTGTTGGTTTGGCCTGCGGTTGTCGGCAGGCAACCGACCTTATCGCACATTCGTCGTACCATAGGACGCCTTGCCACTTGCTCTCTCTGTCCCTCTCTTTAGCTCGTTCACTCAACGCGTCAGTTTTAAGCAACGCCTCTCAAACTCTGAACACATCGCACAGAGGGAGGCAGACCAAGCCAGGCCTGCCGAAGCAATTTTTGTATTGTTACTTTTTAAGTGTAGCTCGATTGTTGTTGTTGATTTTAAATGTCGTTGTTGTGGTTGGCTGTTGCCAGCAGCGAGTATTACTCTGTCCATATACATATGTATATATGTAGATGGTATGTATGTACATACTTGGAAGTGCATGGCATACCACTCGTATTGTATAAGTAGGTTTAAAAATTAAAAACAATTCAACCAAATGTGTCTGCAACAGTTTCAGCCAGTGTATAGATAATAAAATTTAATTTATTTTAATATATTCTATAATGGTTGTACACATTATCTACACCCATCACTAAATAACTAAACAAATCAATTATTTAAACACACAGCAAAAGATTTAAATAAAAGTCTCCATTATTAAAGTATATACCATACATTTATGTACTTTTAAAAGCAAGTTAGTCTGTATTTTTCTTTTGATCATATATATTTGAACATTTTTTAATTTTTTATTGCTTACACTCGTAAAACAATTACGATTTGCATACTTATGGAAAGTATCTGAAAGAGGAGTTAAGTGAGATGCAATAATTTAAATAAAATTCATAAGTTACTGCAAATAGAAAATATTCCAAATGAAAACTTAGCAAACTAAGATCCTTAATTGTTCTTAAATTATCACAAATTAAATATTTACTCACTTAATTTTTGTTTCGTAATAAATTTTCAAAAATATCACAAAAGATTATTTGTTGTAATAAAGTGAATAACATACAAACTGTACATTTTACAATTTTTAATTCAAATATTTAAAATAATGTATATATATTTTTATATTATTCATCTGCCATTTGGACTAAAATACTTTTTTCTTCAGTGTTTGTATTAAAAATCTTCTTCAAGCCGCCTCTTTAACACTGATTTTGTTTTTAATTTAAACGTAACTGAATATACAATCCTTAGTATGTATGTAAAAATATATCTATATATATATGATTTGCGATCGGCATTCAGTCATTAATTTCGTTTCGGATAATAACATGGGAAAGTTTTGTGGCAACTCTTTCAAATTATGCGTAAAATCATAATGTGTGGAACCGAGAGCGAGAATCGAAAATGAAAATGAAATTTTTCAATATTTTAAACAACATGCGCAGTATACGAAACATTTTCATGCTCATCAATACAGAAACATAAAATAGAGCATCGTGCGAGACGCGTGTAGAATTTCATAAGCCGCGACAAGGACATGCTCGGGAGCTGGAGACAGGGCGAAAGGCGCCGTGAGAAAATAAAATCGTTGAACGTAGCCGAGCACACTTCAGTGGAGGAGAAGAGGAAAGTCTTTCACTTGTGCCACTCTCTTTCGCCAATTCCCGAGACGACGCGCCAAAATGTTGTCGAAAAGTCGTAAAAATAAAATCTTGTTTGGATGAGGACAACGCGTCTATGTACTTGAGCACTGTTCTAATTGCTGATTAAAAAATTGTTATATTTGAACCAGGACGAGGCAGAGTCGTAAAAGATCTCGTCAGCCCCTACGGATTTTAATGGCATTTTTATCGATATTTGAATAGGCGGCACCAACGATCTGTTTGGACATTTCGACAACATTTTTACGATGCCAAACTAAAAAGTAGGCGACTCTCAAGTGGGTCGCCGTCCCATTCAGTCCGACGTGTCTCTGATTTCAGTTAACCTCTGTGGCAATTAAAGACTCATACTGTGTATTAATATAGAAAATCAAAATTTAAAAAAATTCCAAAAAAGTACAAAAAAATGTATATGCATATTTAAAATGTTTTCTACTGATAACACGATCTCGCTGACTCTTACTAATGCTTGGGACACATGCCAAAGGCCGACGTACGATTTTTGTTTACACTTTGAAATAATTGACTCTATAGACTCATTACATATCATATATGTCTGTATGTATGTAGGTCTGTATATATGCAACCTTAAATCATATTTGTGTATATATATTTTTCACATAGATTTATTCGATTTGAACTGCTTCAGCGTTCAGCCTCATTAACAAATTTCCAATTTATTAAAAATACAAAATATGTATGTATGTACAATGTACAATGTATGTATTTCACATTTTCAATATTGTGCTCGTAGGTTGCTTGTGGCAGTGATTTATATTGAACTTTAACCTTAACCTTGCGTAGACGTCACAAATATGTTAACACGAGTTTCAAGCATGTCCGTACCAAAAATATATTTTAATTCATTCTCGTAATTAAACAGTTAAACTAAAAGTTATAATATACTTTCTAGTCGAAATTCTGTATATCTGATCACACATTCAACTTACAAAAGTTAATTTGCCTTAATCAATTCGTAAATTGAACATCTTTAAGCATGAATTTTTGTATGTAAGTGAAAATATTTTAACGCTTTCAATTGCAGTAAGAATGTTGAATTCCAATTTGGATTTATCGATATTTTCCAATTTTTCCAAATCATATTTGTGTATATGTCAAGTTAACTTTATAAATGGTGAAATTATGACATATAGAAAGAAACCTATTCAAAATCCAACAGATTTTAACTTTATTGTTGTTCAAAGACAATTTTAAAGACTTTTGTGCAAATTTATTAGATATATTGGATGGAAAACAGTTATTCGAGTGTAAATGAATAAAAGAAAAAGGTTAATTTCATATTTTTATTGAATTTGTCATGTATGACTATTTTCATTAAAATATGTGTCAAACTTTGGATGTGCAAAAGTTAAATTTTTGTCACAGGGCAAAAACGTTCTAAAATCTATCAAATACCCATTTATTTAAAACTGAAACTTTGAACTTTGGTTATTTCTGCCATTGCCTAACAACTGTCGCACAGTGCCGCCCCAAAAGCTTACCCACATGCTACACCAAAAGTTCTCACACTAGACAACAACAACCAACAACTTTCGCCCCCCAAAACAAACCCCACACCCCACCCAACTGGCAACGTCATGCTTTGTTTGGCCCGATAAGGCAACGCCTGCCTTACATTGCCTTATAAACAAAAATGCATTGAGCACAAATGCTAATAACGGTAAATGACCTCAAAAAAACAGAATGTAAATTGTGGCTGCAAGTGCATAAATGCTCAAGTCAGGGTTAAAGGCTTTGTGTGTCTGTGTGTGGCTTGGGGATTGAGATTTTTGAAAACTCTGTTTTGGGTTGGCAAGCTTGAAAGGAGTGCGTGTCAACAAACAAATCTGGGCAAAGTAGTTTCCAAAGCATTAAGCATAAATCATCAGTGAGCCCTGAAGAATGTCAGCCAAGCACAAGTGCGAGATGCTAATGATGTGATTTATTACAGACCTGCGAGCTGTGTTCCTTAAGGATACGTGCGTGCTTGTGTGTGCGAGTGTGCAAGTGTGTGGGTAGGTGCTGCGTTTCACACTTGAATTGCAACTGTCAATGAGCCGCAGCGTAGAACAGTCCATCTTGAAAATATCAGATGCCCCGTGTTTATGGCAAAAACATAAAGTAGAAAAAAATTTAAAAAAAAAATAAAATAAAAACTTGGATACTCACAGCACACACAAATGAGTTTTTTATAGCCAGTGCATATAAAACCATAGAGGTTCAAATTAAGCAAGCAATGCATTCGTGTATTTGTATATCCCACGAGACTCGGCCCAGGCATATATTTCTCAAAATATATGTGCACACATATTTATGTATTTATGTATGGATGCGTGGCGCACACTTAAGCCATTGGGCTTAACATTATTTTGACATATTTATGGTGCCCAAAAATGGGTTTGCCTTGGCACTAACAAGTGTCAACTAGACCCAACCAACAAAAAAAAAAACTATCTCACATATCATCTATCGACGCTGATGTATTTATGTATTTTTAATACACATTTCCAACATTGCTCCTCATAAATATTATCCTTGCTTGGTAATTGAATATCCCGAATATTATTTCGCACTTGAGCCAGACTAGTACTGATCTGTAGCTGCACGGCTATTATCAGCATCGTTATCTGGTAGGAATATAATGGCCATTAGTTCTACTGGTATATGGCTTTTGATAATATCAATTAAAGCGCTTCAAGTCAAGTGCCCTGCGGTCGCTCTGGCTGCTGTAAGTGCACAACAATAGCTCTTTATCTGGCCCACTTTATGACCCCTAACAACATGTCTTTAACACTCTTTTTAATTGCAACGCCATTTTTTGGGCTTGTCTTGTGATAAGGATGTTTGCTGGTAGAGCTAAATTCTTTAGTTAACAAGTGTTTTCCATTTTTGTTCAATCATTTCGCATAGTTCTTATCACATTTATAAATAATTATATTATATAATAAAAACATAATGT